GACGTTGAAAATTTGTGGAGTTGTATTTTAGCGGGCAGGGATGCCACGCTAAAATTTTAGCTTTCTGGCTTTTGCAGTTCACGAGATAATAATTTCCCTGTCAAAATTTTAACGGGCCGTAAGTGGTACCCAGGGGTGCATTAAGGCTGAATCCAAATTTGCGGGGGTCGTGCGTTGATAGGAGATAGGAAGAAATCAGAACCATTTCTATAGAATCTGTACACACATATATGTATATGTGCATACATACATGTTTTTTCGTGTTTTTGTTTTGCATTTATATATATGCATATAGATTTATGTGTTTTACACTTGCATAAAAGCATGTTCAGAATTTATGATTTGTTAATTCCAGTACAAGGAACCTTATGTTTCGTAAAACTGGCGGAATCCTGAAGCTGGATGTTCTGTTGGCTCCCTCATCGGCTAGCTTGTTACTGAAGGAAGTGACTTGTTTGGTTCCATATATTGTCTGCAGCTGGAAAAAAGATCGATTTTGAGTTTAGGCTCTAGCTGATTCATTCGATGTACCCTTTAGGGTTTAGATTATTATTAGGTTGGTTACTGATTACATAGATTGGCTGCAATCCAAACCTCGAGTACACAGCCATGAAGTTGACAGCTTTAGCTTTGTTAATTGTTGTATCACGTGTCGGCCGGCGTCTTGCCGATCTTGTCATCCGTTTCGTCTTCTGGAGGGATTACCAGCTGAACGGTTTTACCCAGCAGAAGTGCATGAAAGAAGTTATTTGTTTGTCTTGATCATCTCCATCTGTTCTTGAATTCTGCCAGACCTTGACTACGATGGGGCTTTTTCTTCAGCTAAGAGAAGGGAAGCGTTATTGGGTGATTCTTCGGGATTTTCAAAAATCGCCTTCAAACCATTTATGTCAGTTCTGTCCTTATCATATATTCACCGATTCATACAGCAAATAATGTGTTATTTTTGCAGGATAATGAAACGTAACCCAACTCAAAAAGTTAAAAAGTACGCGAAGAGGTATCCGGAGAGCGTTGTTCTGATGTGGATCGCAAATGCACCAAAAACTGCTCGTAATAAGAATCCCAGCGAGTCCGAGTAAGCGCTTTTTCTGCAATGTAGACTTTGGACCGAATAATAGTACCAGTAATTCGGAACGATGCATTTCAAGTTTTAAAATGATGATGCCTGTGCGGTAAAATGTCTCGATTCATTAAGCTATGTGCGGTCAAATCAGTATCACGGCTGCACATCGTTCATAACGCTTTATGACCTAAAAAGTAACGATGAAAATAGTGCCACGTTTTTTGGCTTGTTATGGAATTTTAGCAAAAAAAAAGGCTTGTGGTATGCAATAATTTCAATAGAATTGGTTTGAGAAACAAACAAAATTATAGCAAAAATGGCCTAAGAAACACAGTGATATTAACGGTTTCTTGCAGACTTCAGTCGTTGTACATCCATTTTTTGTACAACGTTCCCAACTCGGGTGAATTGCTAGAAGTCAATCTTATGCGTCCGCTCGATGAATTATTCGCGCAAACATGTGACAAAATAAAAGAAAAACTGCAAAAATCATTCTTGAAGCAGACGAAACAAATGCTTTGTGATGAAGTGTTGGACTATGAATTTGTCGTCTCAGCACCGTGCCTTCCAAATCTGGTAATCAGTTCCTATCCATTTTATCTATTTGTAATCTGTCATTCTCCTGTATTTATCGGAGCAGCTGCTTAATCACAGTAATTATGCGTTTTTTGCGTCTATGCAATGCAGATGCAGCGCAGAAAACGTATACTGACGAGTTGTCTGTGTGTCCGTATGGCTATGTGTGCGTCTGTACCGATTTCTCATCGCAAGACCTATGAAAGCTACAGGGATCAAACTTTGGGAATTTAATCTACATGCACGTACGGACCCCAGTCCCCAAAACGAACACTCTTGCCCGCGTGGTACTCACGTGCGGGCCTGTGAAAGTTTTTTGTGGGTAAGCCACCAAGTCGGGAACCAGAAAAGCTGAAAAGCTGAAATTTTAAGGGAATGTTCCCCATTCATGTAGGTATTAATGAGCTCAAAACCAGCTCCCTCGATATGCGTTGTACCCACGTACGGGCCCATGAAAGTTTTTTTCGGGTAAGTTGCTAACTCGGGAGCCAGGAAAGCTAGAAAGCTAAAATTTTAAAGGGGCCAATGGGGCTTTCCCGTATTTTAAAGGGGCTTTCCTGTATTGGCTAATGTTGCACTACTTGCTGACGACCTTGATGTGACTTGTTTAATCTCCTAAAAGGATTTCCGACTTATGGTTGGACAGAAGCATTTGGCAACGCTTTTGCCGCTTCTGGGTATGCTAAATTTGAAATTTAATTTACAGAAATATTTCAGAACGATATTCGGGACAAGGTGATAACTCTCAGCACGCCGTGGTGTCGGTTGTGAGTTATCATCTCATCACGAGTGTTGTTCTGAAATACTTTTGAAAATTAAATTTCAAATTTAGCGTAGGCATTCGATTGCGCTAAGAAGAATGGTCATTATTTGAATGTTCCTAATTACCGGTAATTAAGATCATTGGATATTTCTTGCTGTTGGTACAGCAGTTGCGAACTTTTCCATCCTTCTCCATTTTATGTGTTTCGTATTCGCATAATCTTATGAAACACGATGATGAAGCAGCAGCAGTAGCTAATTTAGGATCAGAGTTTCAGATTATCATTTGGATGATTTCTTTTTTTTTAGCTTTTATCTACCAACGAACAAGTCTACGAGGACAAGGAATTTGCGGAATTGCATATCAATGATGATTTTTATCGTATCGTACGAGATCCGCCGCGATGTACTAAGCTTGCTTTGAAACTAAAACCAATCGTTGAATGCCCATTGATGGCCAGTTTTGCATTCGCAGATGATGGTAATTTGTTTCGTTCGTTAATTCTTTCCACCGTTTCACTCATTCTTTTTCATATTCGCTCTGTATGAGAAGCGAAGGCACACTGAGTCAGTTTGAGCGATAGCACATGCCAACAACAACCATCCCTTTTCACTGTTCTCGACAATTTCTTCTTTCGAAAGTCACTTAAAGCAAACTTACGATTTATCGTGATTTAGACCTGCCATCTGTTTTTTTCTGCAACAAATTTTCCTGCAGATTTACCAGTTTTTTAAAGAAATCCAGATTGATTTTTAGCATCGCAAAAAGTCGATCCGTGTTTTCACTGGTACGTAGCGGACGCAGATATCTCACTGACCATACCACAGTTAGAAAGCACTTCAGCTGGTATGTCCATTAACAGTATTTCTTAAAGTTTTTATAGAAAAAAATTGATTCCACCAGCATAGCTCTCATCACTGTGGGTTCGAAATGTCGATAAGGAGATGTGTGTGTATGTTCGGAAGCGAGTGAACTTTGTCACCTACTTTCAACTCAGCAACTGGGGAATCTGGAAGACTGGTATTTGAGGGTCATATTTCCGTTCCATTTGTCAACCTCCTGTTTCAATCTTCGCTGATACTCGCCTAGATCACGTACGGACGCCGAAAGAAATATGCAGATTTCTTTGACGAGAAAGGACTTCATGAACCAGATAAGATAATCATTGGCGACGCGCACTGAGTGGGGGCACCACCTATGCAGAATAGTCCAAACTAAAAGCTGCTGGAATGCCTCATAGACGCTTTCTTCGACTGAAGACCTTCGAGAGCGTTTCAGAGATTTTTTAAGGAGTTTTACCCATGATCAGCGTCGCTGATGGCCCATTATTATTCTAAGGATTCCCGCATAATTATGCGTGGTGAAATGGAAATTTTCGAATTTTAAAAGATGAGACGTGAATAATTGCTGAGGTGCATTCGTATTTATAGGTCAGTCGAGTTTTTCAATAAAGGATTGGACATATCGCTGTTCCGGGCCGTTTTTCTGTCCTAGTATAGAAGATGTTGGGAAACGTGTTTGCGTGTTGTTGGATATGGGACCTGATTCAATAGTGCAGTGCATAGCTAGTGATGATTTGGTATCCGTGGTCGATGAACCGCTCATTTTTGAAGAAAGGCAGTCCTTGCATTGCGAATGTCGTGCAGATAATGGGTGTGCTTTTGAAGATTAATTGTTTCAATTAAAATATGAATCTAATTTTAGGCGAAAATTTTGTTATTAAGGCGAATTAGGCGAAAATTTTTTGTTAGCACCTGAGGTATCTAAATTAACTTGAGTTTTTTTGATATCATTTTTTTATTAACTGCATTTACCCGGAACAGCTGATAATTCGCTGTTTGATTCTCCAGCCATTCAGCTGGCAACTTTCCCATTTGCTTTGGCCGGTGCTGCATTTTCTCGTGGTCGGACTGCTGGCTGTCACGGCGTTCTTTTCATCTCCTCTGGGAAGCAGTCGTGAACAATGACAACTGCAGTTACTTTTCATTGCAACCGTTAATATTAGAGATCAAATAGCCGTTTTCTTTTAATATTAAATTTTAATTTCGCTGTTTTTCCAAATTGCCATTACAAATTTTAGCTCTGTACGATTGATGTCTTACAACGTTCTTGCTGACCTATATCTAGACTTGAAGCTAAGGCAAGAAGATTTGTATTTTCCATATTGCCCAAAAGAATATCAAGATTATGCGTATCGATATCCGCTCTTACTCAGAGAAATTCCAGGTTATTACCATTGCGAATTTGGATTTGTTAAATCTAACACAGTAAATGAATGAGTTAAAAGGCTGATGTTCATTCGCTTTTATAGGTTATAATGCAGATATAATATTCCTGCAAGAAGTGGATGAACGATTGTGGTTGCGTTTTTTACCTGTTTTAATGTCAGCTTACAATTACGGCACTCATTTTAAAAGGAAAGGACTGCAGGTTAATGAAGGATTGGTTATCTGTTATCGTAATGAGCAATTCAGGTTAGTTTGCATGTTAAATACTGAAATATTTATTATAATTTAAAAATAATTGTAATATTTATTATGAGTTACTTGAAAGTAACAATATTCACCTCCTGTTGATAAAGTACCTCACTGTAGTCTTTGAGTTGGTAGAGTCCAAGACGAATTAATCATCTCGAAACACCTCGAAATGGCTCAAGCCTTGCCAAATGCTTCTGCAGGGAAAACTGTTGAGCTGGTAGTCTTTTCAGCAAAAAAAAGTGGCCGTATTTGAAAAAAATTTAAGTAGTACATTAGCTTCACTGGGCTTCTTCACATGTGTTAGTTTCGATAGACTTATGCATTTATTTCCCTACGTGTCCTAGTTGCATTAGCATCGCCTACTTTTACGGTTCATTAGACCAAAGAGTTTTTCCTCCTTATTCTTGTTCATTTTACTCATCACAATTTATGTGATATTTGTTTCAGGCATTTGGAAAGTTATGATTTATGGTTACCAGATTTTCTGGATGTGACCAAATATCCGGAAAATGAAGATGTGGTCCGGTTATTTGAAAGCCATGAAAATTTGAAGGCTATGTTTGTTTCAAAGCCTGCTGTTGTGCAAGTAATCTTTTTCTAATTCTTCGCTTTGCATTCAAATTTTATTACTTTATGTGGGGATTCCGGAGGAACTGCCGCAAAGTTTCTGTAATCCGTTCGGAATTCTCACAGCGAAATACCCGTTTTTGTGATTTATTGGCTTGTATGAGACAATGGCTTTTGATTTTCCTGGTGTGATTTTATTGGATTACCTAAGTGACAGATGAGGAAGGATCACATTGACGTTTGTGCTAGGCCCTGACTAGTCTCCTTGGAGTGAAGAAGCAATACCATTCTCTATAATTTCTCTCTGTTAGAATTACAACTGGAATTCCAGGCAGCCGAGCAGAAATCTAACAGTCTTATTGGATGCTTAGACTTATATACTTGGGTCAATTATAATTCGTATTTTACCTGCTATATCCGTGGCAATTTTTACAGTTGCATTGTGCAATACTGCATTACCTGATAGTGAGCCTGCTGTTGATTTTGAAGCTTGTTTTATCTCCGGGAGGAATTACCAGCACAACGTTTTTCGTGACAGAAGCATTTAACAAATTTTTGGCCGCTTAGATGGAAGATGCTTTTTTTTAATGTAAAATATATGAATATGGCGAGTTTTTCGCGAATATCGGGGCTTTCCCAAAGCGGCAGGCGAAATCCAAAAGCGACAGCCCAAATCCTTAGGCGTAGGCGAAAATGCAATGTCGGCAGCCAAATCCAAAAGGCGGCAGGCAAATGGCTTTCTTCCCCTTGTGTCGCATGCAGAGAACAAGCAGCACAAAGTCTAAAAACACGAAGCTAAAACACACAAGGGATCAGCCCCAGTTCTTCCCGAATCACATCCTTTTCGTGGAATTGGCCATCCCACGACAGAATTAACAAAGCAAAAAATTCCCGAAATTGTTTAGAAATTTCACAATGAAAATTACAGTTGTTGGCATTGAGTGATATTGGCTCAGGAGATATTCTGCTGCTTGCTAATACCCATCTGTTTTTTGATCCACGTTATGAAATCATCAAAATATTGCAAGCATTGCTCTGTGCTCGATGGATTGCGCGCATCGCTTGCGAATGTGCAATCCGAAAACCCGAACTGCGACTGCGCATTTTATTCGCTGGCGATTTTAACAGCACCTCGGATGGAGCTGTCTTTGAATTGTTAAGCACTGGTCAGAATTTGATAATTATTGAATTTTCATTTTCAGCTTTGCAACTTATTTCGCCCTTCATTGAGCGAGAAACTTTTGTCTGCAATCTGTTCTAAGTGATGAGAATTTTGTAGTGGCAGAAAGCTGCTCCGTTCCGACGGGCTGTTCATGTTTCTTCCCAACTAGATTTGTCTAAGTAGTGAGCGGAAGAAGTCTTAAGTATTCAGTGTATCTTGTGTTCATATTTACACCGGGGTTGCTTGGATTAACTGCACTCCTTACTCCAATTCTCCGTGTATAATTACCAGCAGTGCCAAGTCCGCTCAGACAGTCGATATGGGAATCCCACGGGATATTGATTTTGCTGGGATGCTGTCAGTTACTGAAAGTAT